GGAGGGAGTCGAAGTCTGCTATCTGGGCTTCAGTGAGGCTTTTGACTCCGTAAACCATCGGCTGCTGCTCGGCAAGCTAGGATCGATAGGGTTCCACCCTAGTTTAGTCAGGTGGACTGAGAAATACCTGACAGGGAGAACCTTTCGCGTACGGGTGGAGGGGGATTGGTCGGAATGCGGTCACGCTTATAGCGGGGTCCCCCAAGGCTTGGTGCTTGGACCATTGTTATTTCTGTCTTCATCAATGGTGTAGTTCCCCGTCTGTCGAACCCGACGTTCATCTTTGCGGACGACGATAAACTGCTTGCCTCGCATCNGTGTCGTGACTGAGTGGCTGGACAGGAGAGAGGGAGTCGAAGTCTGCTATCTGGACTTCAGTAAGGCTTTTGACTCCGTAAACCATCCGCTGCTGCTGGGCAAGCTAGGATCGATAGGGTTCCACCCTAGTTTAGTCAGGTGGACTGAGAAATACCTGACAGGGAGAACCTTTCGCGCACGGGTGGAGGGGGATTGGTCGGAATGCGGGCACGCTTATAGCGGGGGCCCACAAGGTTCGGTGCTTGGACCATTGTTGTTTCTGGTACTCATCAATGATCTAGTCCCCCGTCTATCGAACCCGACGTTCATCTTTGCAGACGACGTTGAACTTCTTGGCTCGCATCAGGGTGTAGACCTCCAGTTTGACCCAAATGCAGTACAAGCATGGTCTGCAGAGTGGAGTCTCCCTTTAAATGCGGCAAAGTTTAAGATCTTACGAGACAGGCAGTGCTCAGGGTTTTGGGCCATGCTACATGGGAGCTCGCGACGAGGATGCTATGGCAGTTGTGCCAGCGATCAGGGACCTAGGGGGCACTCTGAACTCCGCTTTTAACTCCTCTGCCCAGTGTCTTGCTGCGGCACGTGCGGCCAAAAGAGTGTTGTTCAGGTTGAAGCGCACAGTGACGTCCAGAGACCCTGTTGTGCTAGTCCCCCTCTGCACGGCCTTCGTTAAGCCGCATCTTGAGTACTTCGTACAAGCTTGGTCTCTTACTCTGAAGAAGAACCAAAGGGTTCTGGAAAGGGTGCAGATGAGGTTCACGCGCATGTTCCCGCACCTTCGGGGAGCGACATATGCCGAACGCCTTCAGGGGCTGAACCTGTTCTCACTCAATCGGAGTAATCTGAAAGGGGACCTGATTGAAACCTTCCCTATCTTGACGGGTTTCTCTCAGGGAATCTCCTACCTACTTCACCCGAGCGGTGTACCCAACAGAAGGGGACACAGCAAGAAGTTAGACAATCCTTGAGCACTCAAACGCCTGAGAGCCACCTTTTTTCGCACCGGGTAATTAATACATGGAACAAACTGCCGCAGGAGGTAGTGCCGTCAAAAAACTGTAGCCGAGTTCAAGCTGAAGCTTGACGCATGCTGGGCATCAGCGTTCCCCGACTGTATCTGACACCGGGCCTAAGGTCGCTAATAGCTCGTCCGTCTCCGTGTTCCTCACTTTTAACTCTTTATCTCTTACTTCACTTCGATTTCTCCAACTACCTCAGCTCCATTCTTCATTCATTGTGCACCACATTTTACTGAAAGTTCTCAGCATCCAGCACCACCACTTGTAGGTCATGTTTCTTCGCCCAGCACACCTCTTAATCTGGGTAGCTCGGAGCGGTTGGTTGCAAGCTGTTGCTTTGATCCTGACAAAACCTCAGACGTGTACTGTCACTCAGGGTACCCATCAGAAGTGCGTTTTCCTTTTCCAGAACCGCACTCACTCACGTCTACGTGCACGAAATAATGCAACTGTCGCAGCGCCGTGGTGCTCGCAAGCTCATTTGTGCAAGAAAATGGACTGCTTCTGGCTCCGCCGCAAGTCCTGTGACCTGTCTTGTCCTGACCTGACCTGACCTGACCTGACCACCACCTATGGCAGACCCAGTCTAATCATCCCACTGAGCAGGCTACTGGGAGGCCGATTTCCAGCAAGAAATAGGAACAGCGACAACGAGATCACAAAAAACGGATGGGGAGCTCGGGTCTAAGGCCCGAGGGACCGACTACTTCCACGAGGTGCAGGGGATCAAGGGAGCAGTCGGAACTAGGGGTGTGGTACACAAATGCCACAAGTATAGGAAACAAATAGCCCGAAGTAAGAGCACAGACAAGCCAAGATGACGTGATAATAATCACAGAATCATGGCTGCGACCTAGTGACAACATTAGTAACTTGAGTTCACCCAGCTTTATCCCCAGCAGAGTGGATCACCAGGATGGACGGGCCGGAGGGGGAGTACTGGTACTCGTAGCCACCCACCATAGCCAACATGAAGGGCGTCACCACAACACCCCGAATATACAAGCAGTGGAGGTGAGTGTACAAAGTGAGCAACACCGGCTATCCGTCATCGGTGTCTACAGCAGCCCGTCGGTCACCATAGGGGAGAATCAGTTACTGCTAGGGCTGTTAACTGAACAGGCTGGATCTAGTGACCGGGTGTTGTTAGTAGGAGACTTCANCCGAAACGGCCCCACTGGGGACGTTCGGGGAAAGGCTACTTGAAATGTTGCATGGTAGGGCCCTGATCCAACATGTGACCGGTGAGACCAGACGGAGGTTCGAGCGAACAGCTTCTACTCTAGACCTAGTGTGCACAAAGTTCCCCACTGAGGTGCGGTGAATTTTTTTAGAAGAACCGTTGGGCAAAAGCGACCACGGGGTTATAAGGATGAGAATTAGAATGCAGGGACTACCTGCTCCTGCCAAATTCCGGCATCAATGGAACAAGATAGACACCGGGGACCTGCAACGTAGGGTGTGCCGGCTAAACCGGTTGGCTGAGAGTGCTCAAGAAAGTGTGCAAGACCAGTGGGAGCGCGTAAAGGGCAACCTACTGGAGCTGACCAATCAGGTAGCACCCATAAGAAGGGTAAGACGCCGTGGCAAACTGCCCTGGTGGAAGGCGCGTGTCGACAAAGCAATGCGGTGCAAAAAGGAGGCGTGGCAGCGCTATCAAACCTCGGGAGGTTTTCGCGCCCACGCAAGGTATAAAGTGGCAAGGCGTGAGGCCACTAGAGTCCAGAATGAGTGCAGAAAAA